ATTATTTAGGGCTGCATTTAACGATTATTTTCATTAAAGATCAATATGATTCATAGTTTTATGCAGAAAATGTCAATTACAATTTCCCAGAGCTTAAGCTGACATATTCATATTGCTCGTCTTCCTGACATCAGTCAAAAAGCTAAAATTATTCAATTCACTTTAATAAACACTAGCTGGGACCGGTGTATTTTTGGGGCATTTTCACTAAAAAAAAGTGACTTTTTTTGTGACTTGGCTTATCAATACAATGAGTAGTAATAGAAAATATGTTTGCATCAATATTTGACTGATACAGGCATAATTACATGCACCATGATAGAGGATTGTATCTATATGGCCTCACCCCCAACACTTGGCATATTAAGAGACTTCAATATCTCAGTAAAAACACAGAAACACACCCAGGAGATGCAGACTCGTGCTGTTATCAGTGGACTACAGAAGACACTGTGTGGAGGGTGGATATTTGGCAGGGCTGACACATTTCTAAAACCATCTGAGTGGACTTTTTTTGCCCCCCTTTTTCTTCAGAGATGAAGATGAGTGTTAACATGGCAGCAACACTGGCTGTCAAGCATCCTGAGCAGACTGAAGGAAACCGCAGTGTCAGCATTTTAGTCTGAACAGTTGGGGTGTTGTCCTGACAGAGATAAAGGGAAAAAAAGAGAAAGGCTCAGAGTATTGAGCTGGTCCACTGCTACAGTACTGGGGTGGGCTGGGCGGACACGGCTCTTTTCTGCTACGCCACTGCTGGGAGGTTCAACTGAGGAGACCCTACCGACAACATGTCGGCCGCAGTCACGTGTAGTGGGGAAGCAAGCTTTCACTTGTCACCGACTGTCATTTTGAAACAGACACTCATTATTTTTAACATTTATTTTGCTGATAAAAGCACCTACCGTCCGCTGGCTGTTGGAAGTTGACATAGGCGTATCCAAGGGAACGCCGGGTGATCATGTCCCTACAGACCCGGATCGACAGGATAGCTCCGGCTGGGCTGAATTTCTCGTACAGCATGGCCTCGGTCACATCTTGATGCAGATCCCCGACGTACAGGGAGGCCATGGGGTAACTGGGAGCACTGGGGTTCATTCTCGTTGGCTGTGGAGGCTCGCAAAGTACTCAGACGAAGCTTGGTTTTTCTGAACGGAAAAAGTTTTCGGCGACAGTGCGAATTCTTGGCTCTAAACGGCCACTGGCGTCACGTCAGTTCGGGGCAGAATTCTAATGGTAAACGTTAGCAACCGTTGGCTTGTCAGTTGCAGTGGGTTGTTTTTTTTTTTTTTTGGAGTAAAATTTAATAAGACGAATATGTTAAAATGGCACACTGTCGACTCCTACTGGGGATTAAAACTGTCGTACAGATTTGACACGCAATGATAAAAGCATAAAACATTAAACGTTACTTGGCCTCGCTTCTGAACCACGTCGACTGACAATTTATCGTTCGATTTAAACGTTAGGCGGCCCCTTCTTATACGTTACCGTCCGGTCCTCGAATGTCTACTCCAGCTTCACCGACTTGTTACAAAAAAAAAGGAAGGAAAAAAAAAAAATGATTTTTTGGTTGTTGTTTTTTAATGTTTTGAATTTTTTTTTGTATTTTTATTTTTTTTATAGAATGTGTGCCGAGCGAGCTCAGAGCACACACGCACTCACACAGCACTAACAGCCGGGGTTGAGGGGGAGGCAACGCATGGGAAGTTGTCTAATATATACCGGTGCACGCGTCACCAAAATGGACCAATCATCTTTCAGTATAGTTGAAAAAAAGTCAACAAAGGGGCGTTGGCCACAACTGTACGCATGATGATGAAATCATGTAAAAAAAAAAAAAAAAGGTATTGTTAAAGGCTGAAATTGACTTATTGTACTGACCACAATACTCCTATTGTTTAGCGGTGCTTTATGGGCACGACTTAAATCCCTCCTGGATCGCAGTGTTTGGGCTCTACAGACAGGCCTGCGACCCCCACTGCTCAATAGCCTCCAGCAATGGGAATGTCACAGGCCGGTCATGTCTTAGGTATGACATTTTAACTGTAACACCGTGTCATTCCTCATTTGAAAAGAGTGTATGCTCATTCTGCTAATGTGATATGCATGATTTCGACCGCACACTTTAAATTGACCCTTTATACAAAATGCTGTGGTGTTCAGCCTTCTTGTGGCATATGCTGTGGTGTAACTTTATAGCAGCCTTATCAGCTGAGAGAATGAATCAGAGTGAGGATAAAAGACAGAGCCACATTACTCCCTTCACACGACTTGTTTTTGTATTTAAAGGCCACTGATCAAAGCTAAATTGCTCACAAATGTCACTTGAAATGGGCCTACTGATTGCAGGCAGATGCCTTGATATTGTATGATGTGCTCATAAATGTGAGGTTAACAGCAGTGTGCTTATAATGTGCTTGGGTGTGAAGAGGAATAGATTAGAGTTTGACATTTATTCTAAAATCTAATCATCTCTAGGCATCTCACATGTGACTTAGACTTGGTTTTTAGTCAGACTTTGTCTCAGTAGGGTTGGATAAATCATTTCAAGGTTTGTGTAGAGAGAGATTAAAAAGATTCTAATCTGTCAAGTTTAAAATGAGAAAAATGACAATTTGCTGAGTCTCATGGTACTTCTACATGCATCACATGGCCTTCCAAAGCCATCGCCATCAGCAGAGGGCAGTGTTGTCGGTGGAAAGCATGCTTCCAATACACTAAAGCAGAAGTCTGCAGCCTCTTTCAAGGTCCCATATTTAAGTGTTGCATCTTAAACTATAATAAACTTAACCCAGAAACACGGAAGGTAATGAAAATAAAGATTTTTATATTGCAAGCTACAGTATTTTAGCATGCAAGCATCTCTTTAGCCAATATACATTTGTGTGGGCCCATAATGCTGCCGAGAATGATCAGTGTATTAATCATAACGTATGAATGTTTTAAAATGTTTGTCCTCATTCAAAGCTGCCATAACTTACTCTCAAATTGGGTTCTAAGATTGAGTTTTGGCCTCAGGACAGATTTGTAGGTCACCAGGGTACAAAAGGGCCTTTTCACTTCTATATTAGAAAACATCAATATAGTCAATATTTCTACGGTTATAAATCAAACGTGCCCCACATACCAGTATAAACTCAACGCTGTTCTGTTCTTGGCTGTGTGCTTGAGGACATTCACTGGCAGCCACTTAAAATGTGTAACTTGTAGCTTTAACATGGGTACGTTTGTCAGATCACTGAGGATATTTCAGTGGTTAATAGTGGCAGACTGAGCTGATGAACTAACGGTGGACCAACACAACTTCTCATATGCATTAAAAACTTTAAACATGACACCATTCCAGATGTACAGAGAGCAAACCCACACACACTGAGGACAGCACACTTGATTTTAATATTTTAATTCCACTTACATGAAAGCATATAACCAAATAAGGTACTCAGAGTGTAACCTGCAAATTCTAAATCCCACATCCCGTATCTTTAAAACCAAGATACTGTAATTAGAAGAAACTGGCACTACTTTATAACTACTAAATGGTCATAATTTAGGATTTAAGTTACTTTAATTATCCAGTTATATTTAGCATTGTTTTAGTTTTTTCACAATGTTCTTTCAAGGAAAGTAAATGTTACAGTAAATCAACCCTGGTTGAAGCTAAATCCTAAGCAAAATTTGCCAGTTTCAAAGCATGGCTAACCCTCACACCATACTACTGAGAACCACATACATTCCAGGAGTCAAATCAAGAGTCAAAGGGAATAAAATACACAAAAAGAAAATACAAAAACACCTGAATAGAAAAGAGTAGAAAGCCACATAAAAGCACATGGCAAAAAGTATCCTCTGCACTGCTGAAAGAAATTATCAAAAGTTACAGTATTGAGCCATTTTGTCAAGTTGTTCACTTTAGCGTAGGCGGTCTATACCTTGTCATGTGTCAGGGAAATTATAGTCTACACATTTCACTGAGAGTGAAAAGATAAGTCAGTAAAATGGAATGTAATCCTCTCAACAAAACTATCAACTAAAGTTTAACTAAAGTTTTCTTTTTTCTGCAAGTGGCCACTCACACAGAAAAACCTTTCCTACGCCTGAATGCACATATAACTCACTGAGCCATGACACATGTACCATCCATAAAACTACACTACCTGCTACACTGCACACTGACAGGGCGGGATGGATCCGAGCAATGTGGTGATAGATCTTTACCAAGGTAAATTCTGCCATCTATATGGCCACTGCTATTGTCGGATGACACCTAAAATTTAGTGAATACAGACCGCAGTGACCATTTCTACAGTTTATGTGCTTTAAAAGGAGTTTTGCAGACAAAGTGTCACAAAGATTGTAAATGTTGAGTTCAAGTAAAAACATACATATTATCAAAATTGCAGTTAAGAGGTTTTTTTGTTTGTGTTTTCCTGCAACAGCAGCAGTTTGCTACAGTGAATAAGGTTAAAGAACATGGGGCTGGTCTGGATCTAAAGGAGGGATTCCATCTGAACTAAACCATGGACCAAAAAAACTAAACAAAAACTAAACATCCACTGGTTCACACAATGAGTAACTTTAAAAAAAGAAGAAGAGATCTGTTCCATTTTTGCTCTGTGGAGGTGCTCATACAATTAACACACGCACGCTTCAATGTATCTGCACACACATACTGTACTTTACACGTTGTGAGTGGAGTGTAAACGTACATATCTGTGCATGTATGTGCAAACACAGCCACACACACACAACTTAGGCTGGTGAGAGGTAAAAAAATGTGTATGTTTTGTTTGTTTATGTTTTTTTCTCTGACGTTCAGTTCTTCTCAGCTACCTACTCCGTCTCCTCTGCCTCACCTTCACCCTGGGCGTCTGACATCCACAGCTGCAATAAAGCAAGGGATACTGGGATTAGTGCACACCAAAAAGTATCTTGAATATAAGTGTATAAAGACACAGCTGGCTTGCGGGGAGGTGAAGACGAGACACTCACTGTCAGATTGTCACGGAGCAGCTGCATGATCAAAGTGCTGTCTTTGTAGGAGTCACTGTTGAAGGAATCCAGCATGGAAATGGCTTCATCAAAGGCCTGGAGGAGAAAGAGATGCCATCAATGCTTCCAAAGTAGAGAACAAGTAAATAACAACAAAACAAAACAATTATTTGAATAAAACACACAACAGCAAGGAGCCATTAAGTTGGTTCGACAACTATGGGCTCACTCCAGGATTTTTAAGTATGATGAAGAAAGTAAAACACACAAAATGTGCAACAGAAATGCCAATTAAGTAACCATTAAAATAACCTTTTAATGGTTACTTAATTGGTTTACTTTTTCAGTACACCTGCCCCTAATCAAACAGTAATTAAAAGTCCTGTTAGAATAATAATATGTCCTTATATAAGAGTTATAGGTCTTAAGGTGGAGCAGAAACAACATAAAGAACACTCACACAAAGACACTGCCAAAAGAAAATAAATGACGTTGGACCACTCTGCTGTTCATTGTCAAAAAGGTATCCTAAATGCTTCTAGAACTAATTGAAAAGACTACAACACACATTATTATCCACAGCATGTTGTGTCTATACCATTGAAGTATTTCAGAATGTTAAACTACTTATTTAAATCCAAGGACATTTCCAATTTTATCCAGGTCAATTTCAGAAATATTAAAAAAGGCCAAAGATTAATGGGACACTTTAGTGAAACAGATCCCTTGTTATTGGTAACATCTGTACTTTTCCTAGCAAGTCAATTAGCCTGATATGAAGAGGGCCTATATCATTCTTGTATCCATCCCTGACTGGATGGGTGCAGTGACTGGAGTAAAAAAAACAGAATAAAAAAACAGAATGTACGCCTCTGCTTTCAAGTAAACTCATTTGTTATAGACCACTGGACCCACGTTAACTCCGTATTATACTCTTCACAGGATTCATTATTATTTCAACAGAAATAAGACACTAATGTGAAAAGAGGTCAACTCTTACCTTCTTGGCCAGATTGCAGGCTTTTTCCGGTGAGTTGTCGATCTCGTAGTAGAAGACAGAGAAGTTAAGAGCGAGGCCTAGGCGGATGGGATGTGTAGGTGCCATTTCTTTTAAGCTGATGTCGTAGGCGTTCTGGTAGGCTTCTTCTGAGTTATGGATGGAGGCTATGCATAGAGAGGAGATAATACAATTTCTTGAGATTTTGTCACAACACTTTGCAGCTGCTCTAGATAGGGGAACACTCCTATGTGTGCATGATGTTGTATGTAAATAACTCGATGTTGCAATGTCAGACATTGACATTAAACAAGGTCAAAGTGTCAAATAATGAGGTAAACGTATATAAAAAGAAAAGAGGAAGTCTTCTCTAAACCTAACCTAACCAACCTAATCCAACCCGCTAACAGCAGCAGCAGCTAGGTAGCCACTAAAGTAGCAAATTGCTCATTTTTCCAAGAGGAAGATTTATTAATCACAGAAAGTTGAAGTAGAACAGCCAGAGGATATCAGAGAGAATAAAAAAAGATGATCCAGTTTCACTAAAACCAGTGAATAAAGTTATAAAAGTTGTGTGCTTTTGTGCAGTAATCAGTGAGGCCCGGTCCCCATAAACACTGGTGGCGTCTATCACTTTTCCGACCTACTTCTTGTCTCACTTGTGGTCTGAGAAACAGTGAATTCATTAAATTCAGTGCCCCACACTCTATTGTCCAACGTAAGTTTCTGAAGCTGTCATGCCGTCGAGAGCACACCTACAAAAGGATGACGGTGTTTACAAGCACTGGGTTCAGCCCCTCGGCAGGCTTCCACAGAGTTTGGCAATCAAAAGAAAGTGGGCTTAAAGGGAGGAGGGGCTTAAAGAGGGGGCTTGTTTCAGACAGAGGAGAGAAGGGCTGCATGAAGGGCCAGCATAAGATAAATAAGTTATAATATGTGTTTGAAGAGTGAATCATGCAGAGCTACTCTGGTGGAGTCTCACACTAAGGAAGCGGGAAATGAGCGTAAATAGGTCCCTTTAACAGCCACAAGACAGATCACAAACTGCCCACCAAAGGTGACAAACCACCCTGGAGGCTTATAAAAGAGATAAACAGTTGCACTGTATGACACACAACACAATCTGAAAAGATTGAGAAAACAGCAACAAAAAACACACATCACCCAGGCAGTTTGAGTTTCCACACCCACCACACAAACTGTACAAATGCCTCTCAGCCACCTGTAGCAGCCAACACCCCAGTACTGCTCCTGTTGCCATGACAGCCCAGCAGCAGCCCTCACCAGCATTTTGGCTGACAGTTGTAGGTCAAGGACGGAGAGGGTGTCAGTATTCTGGCCACAAACAAAACCTGAAGCAAGCCTAGATCTTCATCTTTAAGAGGATTTTAAGAACCATTAATCAGCAGCACACATTCATCCCCTCCTCTAACAGATGTGTGACTGTTGCCATAGAGACAGATCACACAGAAGTGTGTGTTTTTAGCAGTAGGTGGCACCATTAAACATATTTTCTATACGTTTAATGTGTCCTGCATACTACTCATGACCCTTGACCATAATAATCTCCTTGTGCCATCTGATTCCCTCGATTGACTGCACAAGAGATGGATGAAGATGGAGAATCTATGACCAATGTATGACAACAAAAACCCTTCAAAATAAAAAAGGTCTGCACTTACACTTCTTTTCCTCTTCACCTGACACCTCAGCCAGGTAGCGGTAGTAGTCTCCCTTCATCTTTAGGTAGAAGACTTTGCTGTCGGCATTTTCTGCATTGGAGATCAGATATTTGTCAAGCAGCTCCTGCAAATGAAAAAGTGCAACATTAGCACTGAAATGTGTGCAACTCAACACACAACACAACTCTCCTGTCTTTGTGCTCTGTCTCTGTAGCTTCCGTAACTTAGCTTGGACGATAATGATATGGGGCACTAAATCAAATAAGGTCATAAATCTCAATTCAATAATTTACTCTTCTTCACTTCACCCCTCTCCATTGTCTCTGCTTCTTACCAGTACTTCATTGCAGATGTCCTTCAGCTCCTTCTCGACCTTTTCCCTGTACGCCTTGGTCACTGCTTTCTTGTCGCTGTCCTCACAATTGCACTCTATGCTGGACACCACCCTCCAGGAGGACCTCCTAGCCCCCACCACATTCTTATAGGCAACAGAGAGCAGGTTGCGTTCCTCGTTGCTGAGCTCCTTGCCCCCTTCTGTAACAGCCTTCATGGCTGCGGCCATGTCATCATAGCGCTCAGCCTGCTCGGACAGTTTGGCTTTCTGTACCAGCTCCTCCTTGTCTGCCATGGCTCCTGTATGCTGAGGAAGGAAGGACAGAGGAGAGGGAGTTGGGAAAACAAAAGGGACAGGAGACGGATTAGGAAGACAGCGTTGGGGGAGGGCAGTAACAAGGGGAGACAGAGAGGGGCAACATGATGGGGAAGGGGGGGGGGGGTTTGATCATTTAACTTGAATGAAGGAGGACGACAGTGCATGAAAACACGTTGTCCATCCTGCTCAACTTCCTGCCTAACCTGATTTCTCAGAGGAACCTGGTTTCTGGTATGCATGTGATGTCAGTCCGCAGGTAGTATATAGCAGTGAATACTGAACACTATCTAATACAGCTGGAGAACATTACATGGATAAACATCCATGTCACGTAAAAAAAACATTTGGTACATTGGTCTGAATCACTTGTATGAGATTTTCACATTATTTTTTTTGCAATAATCTTATCAGTGTTTCAGTGTCTCATAATACTATTGAAAAAACTTTCCAAGCAAGCGTCTCTTGGGCGTGTGCACACCGGCACTTCTAAAGCATTTTTTGGATTTCGACCAGCTTGGCTCATCGGCACTCAGACTGGCACAGACTTGATTTATAGTGGGGACTAAATTCACGTGGCATCCAAGTTCTTGGAAAGAGAAAGTTGTTACACGTATACTACCGTGTGTTACTTCAGTAATAGTCGTACGTTTAATAAGGTGTGCAAGTATGTCTGGGCAATGTGGCCTTAAAATAAAAAACACACCCACTTCAGTACAAGTTTTAAATTATTATATTTTTCTTAAAAACCGACTATAAAAAGATAACATATCTGAGGCCACCTTCTTCTCATATGATATAGTGTGGGTAATTACTCTATATATTCAGTCCTTAGCAGCTGCACATTCCCACATTATAACTTCCATACTTTAAATCTTGATTTTATGATTCAAACTTTTGTGTTGTTTTCATTTATTGCCCAGTTCTAGGTGCTACTTTGCAATATCCATCCCATTATTTTACGCTTCTTTACTTACAAAAGCCACTCATCGATTTCCATGAAACATAAATGTAAAAGGTTGCAAAATCAGGCACCACAATTTCAAATAGCCCAAGGTGACATATTCAAGATACTGCAACTAAGGATTATCATTCATTTATTATCAATTAACCTGCAGACCAACAAATATTCATGGATGTTACATAATGAGAAAGAAGAAACTAATTATTGGTTATGTATGAGGTTAAGTGCAGGACATAAAGTCTTTCATTAATCAAGAGCTAATTTCAAATAAGACAGGTGAGGCAAAACAGCAATCTGAATATGATCAATATTGGTCTTTTTTTTTCATAAGTAATGTTAGGGTACAATCTCCTAGCTGCAGCACTGTTTCATAAACAACAAACTAATTTGCAAATAATTATCTTACCAGCTGCCCTGTAGTGCAAAACCTATGAGACCAGCATTACACACACACACACACCCTTTGTTTTGTTTGTTTTTTAAAATCACACGATTAGTGAGTCAGATTTCCCAGTAGCAGACACCTGCACCCTTTTGAGGAATGTCGGCCCCACACACACACACACACACACACCTGCCCACTGAGCTCTTACAGTGTACGGAAAAGGGGTAAAACCGTAAAAGAAAAGCCTTCCTGTTGGATTTTGCTTTATTATTTTCACAGTTTAAGTTAAAACGCGTAATAAAGCTGCAGATGCATTGATAAGACCCAGTGCTGGTGTGTCCCTGAATCAAACTAGAATAAAAGGAGCCCTTGCTTAGTTCAGTCCACAGTGAACGCCCTTTTTTTTAGCGTCCCGGAAAACAAAACCAGGGCTGCTGCCGCTTCTGCGAGCATTCATACGGCGTTGCGATAACCAAAAAGCTCATCTGACACAGCCGAAAACCTCCTTCTCAAACACAGCGAGTAAAGGAACCAGAGGAGATAAAGTGCAGCGGCTCTTCCCTCCTTCAGTAAGCGCCGAACAATGACTGAACAGAGGCGCATCACTGGTTTCCTTTTACAGACTCAGTGGCAGCGGTTCATGCGGGATTAAAATGGTCCGCACAAAGCCCACGGGGCGAAGCTAACCGCTTTCCGTCGAAAAACATCCCCCGAAATGACCCGCAGGTGACCAATGTGAACTTACCTGTGTGCTTAGATGATGTTGTTCCTGATTCCCGGCCTCACAGCTGATGATCTCTCCCGCTCATCCACGGGGTTTCCCTCCAATCAAAGACACGGCAGCAGGGTCACACCGGGGCTGATGACGTCAGACTCGGGTTGCTAGGGCAACCAAGTGTACAGGCAAAAAAAAAAAGAAGATTTGTTTAAGCTTTCTCCGTAAACAGGCAACCTAATGCTAGTTTATTTTTTAAAATTCAAACAATGAGTGTAGAACAGTAGAGAGCACACTATTTATGTCCGTCTCAATTTGGGTCACTGCTTCTTTTTTATTATCCGCTTCTAAAAAAAACTCTACAAAGCTTTACTGTAGTATGAAAATTGATGTAAAGCAAAAAAAACCAAACAAAAACAAAGAGCGTTTGTCGAACAACTTCAGCAAAGACTCATGGGAGATGTAGTTGATACAATCTAGCGTAGGTTAGACGAGAAGGAGATCAAATGTTGCTGATAACTATTGTAGTAACGTTAGATACCGATGTATTTTAAAACAGGGATAAGAAAACTGCATCCTGATTGAGCAGAGGTTTATTTTATCTCATCTCTGCCGCTGTCAGACTCTACAACACCGGATCAATGTTGTAGTTTCTGTTTTTTCAAATTACCACCATACCATAGTTTAGTTTTTATAGTTTTTTATATCTGTATTTATTTATTTCAAGGTTATTGCTGCTGTGGGATTAATAAAGTAAAATACAATAGCCAATAACATGACAATAACCAATTAACAAATATTAAGGCTAGGATAACTAGGGGAAGGTCAGAGGAAACGAACTAAACTAAAAGCGAAACTTGGCAACAGAAAATCGTTTTTCTAGTGAAAAATAAAGAAATAAAAACAAACTTATGACTAACTTGGTTTTACTGAGAGGGTAGGCAGACACATGTATATTGACATCACAAGAATAAATCATAGTTAGGTAACATTTGATTCATAAAAATAATAAATGCATAATACATCATTTAAGCTCACAAGCAAGTAAATCTACTGAGGGCGCTCCCTGACAGGAGGAGCACCCCTTCCATACCCTTAACGTTTCTTTGAGTCCTAACCTTTGTCAGGAGAAGGCTGATGCTCAGCTGGCTTAGCCTAGGCTTTAATAGAAAATACAGCTGCTTAAGGCGTAAAATATATTGGCTTGCCCGCCACTGGTTTTGAATAGTTAAGTTTCATCAGAAAGAAATCAGCCCGCCTTCAGTAGTCCAGCCACCATCCCCTGTTTATCCGTAGTTGCCACCCTAAGTCTTGGC